ATCTTATTTTTTTAATAGTATTGTTATAATAATAATACACATTTATATGTAATATTAATAAAAACGATAATACATTTAAAAAAAACTCTTTAGGTCGAATTTTCTTCCTAAAACCTAGATAACTCGAAAACCTTAGTATGTCAAAAACTTTGATAAGTTGAAAAAAATTGTATTTCCCTTGACTTTCAACCTATTGAGGTTCCACTGTATATGATATTCCACTTTTTTGCAACTATCTGTTTTAAATTTCCATTTACTTTATGTTTATGCAGTACACTGACCTAATTAAATATGGTTTTGAATACAGTTTGAAATTTATTATATAATTTTAATGATTATGCTTATCATTCAATGTGATTGAGATTACAACAATATGTTATCAAAATAATCGATTGAAATACTTGTTTTTTCCATATGAATTAATGATTTAAGTGAAAAATGTTTGTTTATCAAAATAAAATATTTACATTTTTGTATCATACACAATTCAACATATACCTTGTGAAAACATGGATTCATTTTTTTTATTCGAAAAAAATATTTGAATATTGAATAATACGATAAATCGATAGTTATTAAAAATACCTATTATATGTAGATATACATTTTTATATCTTCACTTGTGCCATATTGTGTCGGTCGATAAATAAGGTATTTGAGAAAGTTTTTTTTTTCTGTGTATCAAATAATATCACCAAAGCAGTCGAGACTCCTAAGTCGGAATTGTATTAAAATAGATCAACCACGGACGTTTGCTTCCAGTAGAATTGTAGTCGTCGTGTTTGACAACAGATAGATAGGTCAATATAATCACAGTTACAGTGTGCAATACTTATATAATATATAATATTATAATTATAAAATAAACATATTGTGAACTACTACCAGTTTACTGGGCATAGACGGAATGGACTTGAGCATTATATCACTGGGTAATTTATAAATTCTGACGAACAAACAATTATTTATAAACTATTGATTGATCGAGCAAAATAAAATTATCTTAATTATCTTTCTAGCGGATCGTGAGTATAATTCCTTGTTGATCGTGTCCCGATAATTCGTTATTAACTTTCAGCGTTTGAGAATAAATTCATCATTAAGATTAATGTATATGAATTCATATCTCCCTTTGCGTTTAAGTCCGGAGATCACACATTTTTCATTAAACCGTTCGGTTCTACGTTAAAACTATACCCTAGTATACATCATACGGGTATAGATATCGACACTGTAATTGGTAACAAAATAACGAGAACAATATTATAATATACTGATCCCTATTCAAAATATAGTATTATAATTAATTTAGAACGATACGCGATTAAAGGAATATGACTAACAATGAAAACGATTAAAGAAAATAAAAAATTTCACGACCTCATTATGAAATAAACGCGGATTACGGTAAAAAAAAAACATTTTTTTTTTTTTCAAGTTTTCAAAACCAAAACGAATGAATAACAGTGATTCTTAAAGTATCTGCTGCGGATTTATAGATTTTTTTACAGTTTCAATGTACAGAAAATATGTGTGGAAATCGTAATTCAATGATTAATGAAAAATTACTACGATAGTACGGTAACATCGCATGGTTAGCCGTTCTTGTAAAATATGAAGTGTAGAAGAACCGTTTGCGTTCGGAATGACACCGAAGGATATGTTAATGCTAACAGATATGAGTAGATGGTTGGAAAGATAAAAGTCACGCAAAACGTAGTTGTATGATGGCAGGCAACTTTTACTACGGTTCAAATACCATTCGCGACACGTAGTGTTATTAACGTTCACTTAATAAAGTTTCATGACAGTGCTCAAATATGTAATTTGGTTTTCTGTTGAATTATTGTAAAGTCACATTATTAATTCGCGTTTAATTCCGGCATAGTGCAACGCGTGACGAAAGAGATTTTAAGACAACCAATTTAATACTACGTTCGTTGTCGTGTTCTTATAAATACGGTACGTTGAGAATTTTCGAAAAATATAAACGGGATTATACTATGACACACATATCATAACGGAATATTATTCGTACAATTTCATCGTATTGGTATGATCTGTACGAGGATCAATTAAATATGAAGAATACAGGGTATTGGCACAAAATATCTTGTTATAAAATATTCAGGAATAAAATAACCAATACATAGGACAAAATATCCAAATAAAAAAAAAAATTATAAAAATTTGTATTATTAATACCTGTATATATATTTTTTTTTATTTATATACATTATTGTCCATTTTTAGATCAGATTTTAATAACATTTAACATTAATAATACTCTATAATACAGTTATAAAATAATAATAATAAAAATAAAATGTTATGTTATATAATAATTATATATTCAGTTTTATGTAGTGCGTTACAACGTAACATAGTTTTATTTTTGCTATTATTATTTTATTACTAAATTATAAAATATTAAAAAATGTTAATTTTGATTCAAAAATGAACAATGTATCTAAATAAAAAATAAATAAAAAAATAAAAAAATTATGTACAGATATACAGATTTTTATTATTTTTTCATTTGGATATTTTGTCGTATATATTGGTTATTTTATCCCTGGATATTTTATCCGTTGGATATTTTAACCTTGGATGTTTTGACTTGGATATTTTAGTACAGGATATTTTGTTCTAGATTCATATAATGTCTTCATATCATGAAGATAATGTTTCGATATTTCCTTATTACGAAACTGTCGTAGTGACTTTTGTCATACACCATATTTATGTATTTTTGCACAGCATATTACCATGATTATTTAGATACGCCGTACAAATCCTGTAACGCGTTAAAACAGTTTCGTGACATGTATTAAAAATATTTTATTTAACAATTTAATATTGTACATATAAAATTTTTAATTTAATATTATGTGGTTTTGTATAAAAAAAAAAAAATTAAAAAAAAACATTATAGTAAATTTATTATAAATAAATAAATCGTAGTTAATTAAATTTGAGGAGGAAACAATTTATATTTATATTAGAAAGCCAAAACAAGTATGGAGGAAATTATTAGAGGGATTTGAGAGCGGAAGATAAGAATTAAATCGAATGATTGGTAACCAACCGACCATAGATGAGCGAAAAGAGAAAATCTGGAAGGTGTGAAGGAGTTTTATTTTTATAAATAGATTTTTATGTACGAATTTGTAGTATTAGATTTATATGACGCATTAAGTTATCAAAATAATCATAAAATATAATCAATAACTGGTTTAAATATAACAAAATACCTTTTTTAATTTTGAGAATAATATACTATCTAGATTAATAAAGAATTATATTCATTATTTTTTAAAGAAATGGATATACACATATCTTATATATAGATATTTATGTGGTAGGTTTTTAGGAAAATAATAAAAATAATAATATTGTTTAAATTATATCATCGAAGAAAATGCATTCACCCGGTGGCTGGTATGCATATTATTAAAATAAATAAATAAAACCATCACTTTACCCAACAGATTTCTTTATTCCTCCTTGGGTTTTTATTTTTAATAAAAATTAAAAATTATAGGGAGACGGTTTTTTTTTTTACACAAGAGACTGCTTCGTTAATAAAAGTAATTATCCGACATTCTCTTGCTTTTTTACTTCGCTATTACTAGCCGTGAACATAATCAATTAAAAGATAGAGAAACATTTTTTTTTAAGAAGTAGAGAAAAGGTGAGGTGTGCAAATTAAATTGCCGCAGGCAGGAGGTTTCAGCTAGCTAATAAAAAAAAATAAAAAAAGAGGGAAAAGGGAAGAGAGAAAGAGAGAGTGCAATAGCAACAACAGCATCATTTCGGTAAGAAACAAATTATCTCTAAGGTATACTTAAAATTATATTTTATTTATTACAAAGAATCGTACCTTTATATAAGATTACTAACATCTGGGAAATTAAAAAAAAAAATGAATATTAAACAAACACTTTTTGCGCGCCCGAAATGAACTTCCTCGAGTTTTCATACTTCAAGTTCAAAGTGCGTAATAATAACACAGTATATTGTATTATAGATATTTTATATTTTACATGACCGTTCAAATAGACTTTCAAAGAAAGGCTAAACCTCAACAAAATTAATTTTTCTCAAAATGTTCCCAAAAGTAGTTTTTTTTATCTCTATACATTTGCTATAGATTTTATTATAATAAATAATTACGTTATTACGTTACAGATATGTCTTGTACAGTCAATATACAAAATGTTCTATGAATTTGTAATCATTTTTAATATAACCACACAGACAAAAATAAAATTTTACTTACATCGTAACACATCCTGTATAGTATTTATAGTGATTTGTCTACATCTTTAAGTGAACTTCAAAATATTACCTTCAGTATATGAAATATGAAATAATTTTGAGTATTGATAATGTTAGTATTTTCAGGGTCAGGATAGCACGTAACATGATTTAATCGTAACAATGTTTTATTTACTCGAAATGAAACTTTTATCATGAATAATATGTTTGCATATATAATAACCTGTACAAAAAAGGGAACGAGTCTTAAGTAGAGTAAAACCTTGATCCTAATATAGGTGTAGTCTCTCCTATGCAAATAAAACGATGACATACTATATTATAACGCAGTTACGGAAATATTTCGGATAATATATTCTGTGGATATTATAGTTGTTCACAACCTACCAGTTTTAACCATGTCTACTAGATATTTTTTCGTATGTTCATATATCGTCTACTATAATTTTTGTTATTACGTTTTCAACTTCTCAAGTTTTGTCCGATCATCTCAAACAATCCCTTTCGGCCTGTACCGTATTTCGTTGCTATAAAGCTACCTTTATCATGTTACCAGTCTCACCTCGAACCTTTTGCTTGGTTTTTGATTCACGTACTTGATCAGTTTTCGATTGATCATTACAGTTCTCGTTTCTCCACGCATGGAATATATCTTACAATATTTCGAACGTCATCCGTGTAGTGTCCACCGTAAAACGTGACTTTTTGTCATTTTGCAGGTCGCCTGGATTCACATTGACCGTAAGATGATACTCGCGGTGCACAAACACGTGATTGCCCGAATGCCAAGGTTTACCATGTCACACGATGGCCAGAAGACGTGGTCGTTGCACATAAATGGCGTGAGGCCGTCGGACAAGGGCGTCTACATGTGCCAAGTGAATACTGACCCCATGATCAGTCAGATCGGTTACCTGCGAGTGGTTGGTAAGTGCAAGCGATTGTTTCGAATTCGTGACGGATTATGACAGCGACAATCGGTAGCTTATGTATAACACTTTCAGGCGTCACATCGAAATGTTTTGTTAAAAATTAAACTTTACTTATTTTTTTTGACAAAACTATGAACAAACTACTTAAAAATCGGCTTGGTGTCCGGGGTGGTGTAAGAAAAATATTTGTACCCCATAACGAATTGCAAACGAAATCAACTCTATGGACTTTTTTTCTGCCTATTATATAATATATAATTTATCTATATGATCATAGTACATTCTAATTCATTGACGGAGCAGTGAATTTCAGGATTATTATTTCACTTGAGTATTAAATTATAATTATTATTACTATCATTATGATTATTATTCACAAAAGATCTCAGAATGCGTTTTAAAATTTCATCATCGTTATCCAGCGCACTCGTAACAATTTAACGTTTCCTCCGCGAGTTTGAGTCATACCTGCCCACGTATACATATTACTTATATATATATATATATATATATATATATATATATATATATTCTTGGTGATGAAAGTTGCGGCAGGAAGGAGATATTAAATTTAATTAAAAAATCCCCACACCTAGAACCAGCTTAAAATTCAGGTCTAATTTTCCCCCCCCCCCCCATCAAAACTCTGTTCAGCAAAGCCGCTTATAATATTTTAGAACAGAAAATCCTTCCATTTTTTCCTTTATAGTTTTCATTATATCATTCAGCGGCGTTTGACCGAAAATAGTAGTTATATAAATATAAAAAAAAAAAATCCCACTAAAAATACACAAGAGCTCTTGGATGGATCGCGCATTCGAATGTAATCCGATGACTCTACTTTATTTCTCTAAAATACAAAAAAAATAATGAATTAAGTTAAACAATTTTTCACCCGCAGATTTATTTATAAATAAACGTAATACTTTTAACTACGGAATTCTAATGTAACATATTAGTGATACTTTCCTTTTGCGGGTATAATAATTGTTTTAACAAAAAATTATATGATGACAAATTAATTTTTTTTTTTTGAAAATGCTCAGATTGTAGATTTGGTAGTTAAGAATATGTCATAACAATAACTAACGGAGGTTTATTTAAAACATGAATAATATAATAACAAAAATAATCACAACATACTTTTTAGAACTCATTAATTAATTAGTATTGATAGCAAATCATGATAAATTATGAATTGATATTATTATTAGTATGTTTTAGAAAAAAACTAATAAGAACATAATTATAATACAAATAATTACAGTACATAACAAAAATATTGAAATTTAATAGAAAGTAAAATTAATAATTGTTGTTAATATAAAAGCTTTAATGACTAGGTTGTCATCTAAACTTCATGATAGTACAATATATAGTTTGATATTAATAAATATATGCACCATGTATAAATTAAGAAATTGAAAATATATTATAAGTTAACAACTAATTAATAATTTATTAAAAAAATTAATATTTTATCAACAATGCGTACATACCTTGATTAATTATTCAATAATTATCATAGTATCCCTAATTATGGTTAATGGTTATTTTTGAATGATCACCATGCAAAACTTAATTTTCATACAAAATATTATGAGGTGGTGGTTTTATAGAATTCAACTTTGGAAAAAAGTCAACCCCACCAATATTAATAAGAACAGAATTTTTTAATTTAAAATGTTATATTAAATAAACAAAGTTCCGTGCGATTATGTTTCAGATGGTCACTCACTACACCGAGTCTTGAATTTCCAACAATGGATGACTTTTTCTAGACTTAAGCTTCAAAATGAAATACATTTAACACATTTAATTTTATTTTATATTGCCTTAAAAATAATGATTAATTATTTACTCATCATAAAAAAGAAAAAAAAATGGGTGAAATTAAAAAATAACAGTCTTAAAAAATTAATTAAATTAAAATCGTTTAAATTGAATTTTTTAAGTACAAAATATGATAATTTTTATGCAAACAGTAAAATAATTAAATTAACCACACATTTCGAATAGCCTAATTTTTTACTTCATTATTTTAACACAATTTTATTATATTTTAATTATATTTGAGAATTTTTAATATTATTCTTTAACCATTTATAATTCTTAATGGCAATAATACGTGTTTAAAATAATCAACGTCATTACAATTCTCAAACAAAGTAGTAAAATTTTTTTGTATATGATTTGAACTTTTGGATCTATATTTCACTGTTTTTATTTTTAGTTTGTGTTAAGTAATTAACTAACAATAGATATTAAAATTATCGGAGAAAAACACATATATTAAAGTATATAACTGTAATATATAATTTATATCAATACATAGCAATGTTCCATATTGCTAAAAAAAAACTTTTTCGAAAATATATTTTAGCCTTTTAAATAAATATATAAATTCATCTATAACGGAATATTTTGCATCTAGAATATGTGTCCATGATCAATTTTTTAAATGTGAAAAATTATTAAATGTTTTGGGAAAAACACGATAATGTTAATTCAGTATAGGAAAAAATATTATGGTAATAAAGTTCATTATTATAAAACAAAAGATAACATAAATATTAAGAACCAATTAAAATTTAGACGGTAAATGAGTAATATACTATTATAAGTAACGTTATTAACTGTAATAAATTATTTACGTTTTATTTTTCCATTTAGCTTAATAAAAAAAGAAGAAAGTACTGAAAACGAATTTATTAAAACCCAAGTGAAAAAATTTTGATGATTACAGAAAAACAACTTAATCGTTTAATTTTCCTTTTATCACGATGTTAAAACAATATGGCCATATTGTTATGATTATGTAAATGTAGTGAATTTCGAATTTACCCATTATGGTTTAAAAAGTGTTTTACTACCTTTATTTTTCTTTAAATACTTTTGAAATTTATTTGTGTATAATTTATTCACATAATGTAACTGATGAACATAAGATTACGTACAAGTAATTTTTTAAGTTTTTACAATTCAAAATCTATACTTAATAAATGTTGCTACTTACAATTATAACTATCTTTGGTACAATAAGCATGTGCTCATATATGTGTGACCATGAATGTTCTTTGTATTCTTACTATATTGAATAAAATAATAAAATTTAGTTTATCGAAGTAAACATTTTTACTATGTAATATAAAAAGATATTCCATGAAGTAAAAATAAAAAATGAAATATTTTTTATTGTAGACTAAAACTTGAATATTTGTGTAGGCTTCGAATTCCACCGGAGGATTTTTGGACGTTAAATGATAAAATTATATTGAAAACAAAACGATTTTATTAAAACTAATATAACTTAAGTTAACAAAACGAAAATATTATATTTTCACTAGCTGAATTACCCGTCGTTGCTGGGTTTAAGTATATAAATGTATGTAACCTGCCAAGATTAAATTTTGTTAAATCTATTGAAATTTAAATTAATTAAGATTTTTGAAATAATATTTTATACATATTAATTTAGTTATTATCATAACCTATTCGATAAGTTATGGCTTACAACTACCTGAACCTCTCTACAGTTTGGTATTCTGTTGAATACATATAGCATCTCACTTCTCCGAATATTTTAAATGAATATAACTATCTGCACGCAATTTGGCTTGGTTGTTTTTGATGTAATTTAGTCTTTCAGTTTCAATTTTGGCGTATTCATCTACCAAATATTGACTAAAAAGAGAACGATAATTAACTAAATAGTTGTCTTCCCCTTCTTCGACCATTATTCTATATGAGTAAAAACTTGATGCAGAGACAGTTTTTTTAAGTGGTAACTTGGTTTTTGGATCGCGTTGTGGTATATTGATTGCATACCCATCATCCCCCAAACAAAACATTAAAGGATACTGCAGTGCGTCGTATGCTCGATGTATCTCACTGATACGGTGAAGTGAGTTACTTCGGTTTTCGAGAATGATGTCTCTTCGATCAAACTGCTGATCTACTAACACTAAAGCAACTTCATTTGCCGTTGGTGCATTATACCTGCCTCTATGTTCTTCTGGTGGTTTTTTATCTGCATGTATTACAACTTTAAATGACTCTGAAGGAGTATCGCAAACTGTATCTAGATTTGTATGACACCAAGTTTTCTGGTAACAAATTTTGTATCTTGAGATTCAGTTCGTTGACCTCCACATTTTTTGCTACTAAAATTGCTCTTTCTGCCAGCCACTCATGATTTGTGTATTGTCTGTGTACACTGGGACATATATAGTCAATGAGAGCATCTTGCGAATAAATGATTGTGCAGAAATCGTTCGGTAATTGTATACATCCCGTTTCATCTGTAGTAACTTTCCCATCTCCAATATCTAACAATTGTTTTGAGAATCTTTTGCACGCAACTTTTTTTGATTGAATCGAAATCGAAGTATCGAAATCGTTCGCTATCTATCTTTATATATATTTCAACCATGAATTGTTGACAAAGCTTATGCATCGTAAAATAACTTAGTCCTGATCGCGTCTAATCATCAACCGATATACATAATAATTTTTTGAACTAACATTCTAATTTGTTTTAGCACCTGTAGCGGGATCTTTTTGTTTAATATTTATGCAATACCCGTCATTTACTACCAAAAATAAAATGAATAGTTTTTAAATAATTTTTAATATTTTTTTAATGATTTTTTAATAGTTTTATTTAATATAATTCATTTTCAATAGCGCAGTTATCGACCTGGTCAAAAAATATTAAACCGATTTCAACCCTTTAAATTCAAAATTTCGAAAAATCCTTTCTTAGCGCACGTCTACATCATAATAGCTATCTGTATGCCAAATTTCAGCCAGATCCGTCCAATGGTTTGAGCTGTGCATTGATAGCAGTCAATCAGCTTACTGTTTTATATATACAGACAGATCATGCCTAGTATTATTCTCCACGAAAAATTTTTATGGGAATACCTAAGGTTTCTTTTCTACTCAAAAATAAATCTATATAAAATTCAAAGTGATGTGCGTTATTCAAGCACACTACAAATTCTTTGAAGTCCATGCCATAGTTATGCAAAATTGACTACACCAGCTACCTAATGAGACATTAGTATGATGAATCGAAATAATTTCCTCGTGAAGTATGAATCGTATACGTTTCCGAATGTATTAATATGAAAACAGAAAAAAAATAAAAATAATACTATTCGTTGATCGCTAACTTTTAAAAATTAACGTTAAAAATATGAAATAATTTCTTTGATATAATACATAATGTCCTTTACTATTCAGTATACTGAATTATTATTTATCGAGCATTCTCGGAATTTCTTAATATTTCTATCTAAAATAAATTGCGTTAAATACTGCTATTCACATATAATGATTTAAAATTTAAAATTAAATTAAATTTTTTGTGGATTAATTCGATGATAATTTCCATTCATATTCGTTTTTAACAATTCAAATTCAGTAACCATATTCAATTAATTTCATACTGGCTACAACGGTTGATATCAATTCAATTAATTTAGTCAGTGTACATATTATGCACTTGGTTTGAGGTTATATGATTTATGCTAAGGTTTATTAATTTTTCTATCATATTACACAAATCATTAATTAAATTAGACATAATATTGAAAAATTCATTTTTATCCAAATGAAAATAATGTTTATATGTTCCCTTTACATTTTTTAATTTTAATCTTCTTTTAAATTATCGACCAGTTTGGTTTTCCTAATTTTTATTTTGTTGTTTTTAATCTTTAATTTTAATTTTTATTTACCAGTTATTTATATATTATCAAAATATGAAAAATATTTTTAAGAATATAACGATAAATATACCATTGAAAAATAAAGTTTGTACTACTATTTGGCATGTATTATTTTATGATAGTAAATTAATTTATAGGTTGACATTACACGTCTTAAAATGTAAAAAACTGTTGGAAATTTCAAAAACAACTATCGATATATTAACTAATTAAGAAAATGTAATAAAACCGGATTGTATACTGAATCAAGCAGTTCAACGGAGCATTATAATTATAATGGAATGAATCTCAACTAGAGGGTATTTTGATGTGGGTCGAATATGATCAGCAATAACTTACCTTAACGTTTAGGGACAGAGAATACCACTGAGGTCAATTTCTAGAATTACAAAATTGATATAACTAGAAATGGTATCGAAATAACGTCTGAAATCTTTTCATATATAAGTACAACCTAATGATTTTGTTTATTTCTTTTTTTTCATTTATACTTAATCGAAATAACGTAATCTGAGTTTAGTCACGATATTAAATTAAAAAATTAATTCAATAAATAAAATATTATTAACTAATTATTTGATCAGTATTTATGTTCACTAAAAGAATGAAAATGCCATGTTTATATGAATCACATACAATTTTAGTTTATGAAAAAATGTATAAGGAGATTTTTTTTTTTTTTGTTTTAATAAATCGCTTGCATCCCTGCAGGTTTTAAATGTTTTTAATAATGATTGAATAATGTATGCAAATATGGAACGCATTTCGAAACTGTTATAGCACTATTTTCTGAACTATATATCAGTCGATTAATAATAGATATTCTCTAGATATTCTATGTATTTGTTATAATATAATGTACACACAGTTAAATACAATTTATGGAATACTTTCCGATGGCAAATAAAGAATTTAAATCGAAATGAGATACACCATGAAATTCTATCAAAACGATTTATTGAATAATTTTTGAATTATAAAAATAATAATCTGTACTGTAACATTTAAGTCAAAGCGTTTAGAATTTATTATACATTTGTACAGCCAAAACAAGCATGATACAAAGGTCTCCCGGAGGTATCACATATCAGTAACAAGTTTTGAGACAAAGGACACGTAAAAACGTAAAAATAGGTTGGACACATGCAGACTAGACGTTGGAAGACGCACTAATTTTTACTTTGACGAACCGACCGAAATTATCTGTGAAATGATTGGATATCGAAATGACAATGATGAGTATCGTCAAAATAATGGGAACATAGCGTTATTTTTACCGTTGAATTTGTTTCTTTATAAACTAAAACATTACGTCGTATACGCGTGACTAACGCAAGCGAGAATGGAAACAAAACGTTAATGACGATCACTAAACGATTGAGTCCTTAACAAGTTCATACATTGTGAGCGATTCGAGTGAAGTTTTTGATGCCTAGTTGGATTGAAAAAATACAACTATGTATTGTCGTTCTATAATTCATAGCTGTAAAGGGTTAAGCTAACAGTTAACATTCGGAATATCAAATCCATGAACTTTAACCAATGTGGTGTTGTGAACCCTCCACGCGTCGCGAATATTATTATATGTCGCGTCAGCGACAGCGTAGCTCGGCAATAGCTATATTAGTGTTTGCAAAACAACGATGACAGTCGAGTTGTATACTCGGTCGGGTACAGTCCGTATTATTTAATCTCAATAAAGACGTATTAATACATTTTCATAAGTATGTGTTGTGTTAATTTATTTTAAAACGTACGTAAAGAACTAGAACTGTTTGGTTTAAATCATTATTACGAAACAGACCAAAAGATAACGTAGTAACCCCTGGAAATAATCGAGGGTTACAACAGCGGGATATTTGATGGAAATTACTAACGAAAATTTCGGATTCGAATTCGATAGGACTTGAGCTATCGGTCATCGTGTTATTTCAAACAGCTCATCATTCCAGTATGGAAGAGATAAAAATACAAAAATACGTTCTTTTGAGGGATAATCGAATAATATAAAAAAAAAAAAAAAATCGTTAATCGAAACGTCGCCACGGGAATCGGAACGGGAACGCAAACAGGTGTGAACCGACCCCGTAGAGAGATGGATTTAAAAAGAATTTTGAAAAAAAAATAATAATCACATTTAAAGCTCATGCGGTCATCCAGTACTTCAAGATCTGTCACCCGTACCCACGGCGTACCCATCTTGCAATACGCGACGTACAACTGGTTGCACAAACGAATGGTTAACTGAATAATACCTGTGCAGCAAATTTTGCTATTGAAACGACCTGACGACGATCGCAAAATCATTATAATGAAACATAAATATCATATTTATTATGTATATTTGTATTAATATCATATAATTCATTATTATTAATGGATGTTAATGATCGACAAAAAAAGATTTGGAAAAAACAATCCCTATAGTTCGAACTAATGGTTAGAACTAGTTCTCCGAACCTGATTACTTTTACAAGACGTTTCATTTTTCATTAGTTATTGGTAAACCGTTTTATTTGTTTAGGATGAAAGAGCTATTTGTTTTGTTCTTCAGTGTAAGCATGAAAAGTACCGGGCGCACAAATATAGTAACCGTTAAAAAAAATAATGAAGACATCATTGAGCTTTTAGTAACTTTTTTCATCATGGCGATACATACATTCTTTATATTTCATACGTTGAATATAAAAACTAATAGATCGTTCTGGAACGAACAATACTATAATTTTACACATGGCACCTCTACCAGAAAAGAACATTCAACTATCAGTAAGAAATAAATCAATACAAACATAAATCATTTGTTTTAGATAAAATAGAACGTTTTCGTAGTAATCATTTTATATTTAATTTTTTACAATTTTAAACGATGATTTGATTACAGTAATATAAACGGTTTGAATAAAAACAATTGTAATTATAAAATAATAAATTATTTTGTAATTAAAAACATGAACTCGATGAATAAAGTAATTACGATAAGAGGAAGGAAAAAAATTTTTGTTTCCTTTGATCTATGATAAATAACTATAAACGTAAAATTTAACTGTACTTGTTATACCTGTTATAATCGTGCACAGACACAATGGATTTTTTTTTAGTTGCCCTTTTTGTTCTTATTCCTAGAATTAGGTATTGTATACATTAATGGAAATTCATCAGTTTTATCTGTTACTGACGATAACGGATAGATATTAATCATATTGCTAATAATTTGCATGAAATATGATAATATAAACTATAAAAAATTAAGTAAACTATTACTGTTGACAGTGCCGCCGAACATAGTTGACGACGAGAGTTCCGCTTCGACTGTAGCAGTGCGGGAGGGACTCAACATATCCCTGACATGCAAAGCTAAAGGTAATCCAGAACCAAAAATCGTGTGGAAAAGAGAAAACGCGTTAAAAATAACAGTTGACAGAAGGAAAAAAGGTGAGAAAATGAAAAACAATAAAAATATATTATGTGTCCAATAAAATAATTTCGAGTACCAGCAATACGTGTTTAATCGTTTTAAATAGAAACCATTGGTTTGCTAGTAAGATGATTAAATATTTTATGATATATTAGCTACTCATTGAAAAAAAAAAAAAAATTATAGAAAAACATTGTTATGTCGCCGTATAAAATATGTTTATTAACGAGTATATGATAAATTCTTTATCCTAGATAATAGCTTATTGAATTCTTGTAAAATATATTCATTTGTGACATTATCTCTTCCATCCGAATTATTCCTAAAAACGAAGGTAACACATCGTATTAATTATAATCGATATTGAACATTTATTTTTAAAATTATAACGGGTCACCATAGATAATATCTGTACAATCTTTTTTTCAAATATAACTGTTAACAGCGGCGTAGCAAGGGTATGGCGAAATGTGCCTATGCCAGGGGCTCGAATTTCAAAGAGGCGCAAAATTGTACAAAAATCATATTTTTATTCTACAATCAAATTGAAATTTTTCATCATACTTTTTGAAATACGTAAATGTTGTCTATTTTTACACACTACGATTGAATTTATTGTTGAAATTATGAAAATAGTAAAAGGGCATTTAAATAAAAAATTTCATATGAAGAAAATATTGATGAATTTGCCAGTTATAAAGCGAGAAAAGTAAATTTTCAAAGTTTAAAATTAACACTGTAATAATAACCTATATAAAGAAATTGTATACATAAAAAAAAATAGCGTAATTAAAGGTTAAAAAAAATATCATAACATTAAATTTTGATTGGTTAAAAACCGTTTTCTTCTAAGTTTGCCAGCGAATCTTCTCTACGCCACTGACTGTAAAAGAAAAAATAAAACTATTTTCAAAATTTCAATTGCAAATAATCGTATCTAGTTTTTTGAACTGATATTCAAATAATTGATCTACAATACGAGTTTTTCGATTTAATTTTTTACACGTATAAAAAGATAGCTTGAAAAGATAATTTGAAGATAAAACAAATATCAAAAGTAAAACTTTGTAAAGCGTACATCAGAGATAATAATTTTTCGTTTATTTCATCGTTTTTTTTTTCCAATCAACTAAAGTTAACGTTTAAGTCTACGAACAAATAAATAATCTTGTACACAGGTTTAGTTATTGTGCACGTGAACGCGTTTCAAAATACACATTTCGATCTTCGATATTCTGTACGCATAGGTGTACGTCATAGCAAATCGAATGTATTTTAACGTTGTTATAAACGATCAGATGTGAAGACGTATTTGTATGACAAATAAAAACCAATATTGCAAAAATAACTTTGTGGAAAACGTGTTTTAATTATACCGTTAATAAGTATAACGACTATTATCAAACGTGACCCTGAATTCGATAAACAACCCATTTACTTTGAGTCATTCTGAAAACGCGATGAAGACACAGTTCTCGGACTCGAACATTTCATGCATTCCTCGCACACTGAGTTACTGTGTCTCGTCGAATTGAGACTCGGCCTAGGGATCTCGTCCAGTGAATTTTTCATCACCATCAGATCTTCTTTCGGCATTTGTAATAATACCAGAATGTACCGTAAAAGTTGTACATCCACTTGAGCGTTGTCCATCGGATGTTATTTGCGATACGAATATCGATTTAATCAGTTGTTCGGCCTACACTAAGAACGAACGGGTTTAGTGGTTTTATTTTAATTTTAATAATTTGTTGCACACGTTGCTGTAAAAATGTATCGTTTAAAGGAAATATAATATTGTCGCATTTGAATTAATAAGAAAAAAAAATTAATTAAAATAATTAAAATAAACATTTAACCATGGATACGTTTATCGTTATAACTTTTTCAATATTTCACACGAAATATAATACGTAAAATATTAAATATCGTAGTAGCTACGTATCTCTCGATGATTTACTACTTTCAATTGATGTTCGGCGAGATAAATAGAATGTGTATAACGTTACGTATTATTTCTATCATTTAAAACTGTGAGCACTATGTGGATAAACGTTATGGGAAACAGTTTTTCATAAACGACTACAATAATTATTGTCATATGATCTCCCTTTTTCTACGTTCTAATTAGGACTTGAAACTAAAATGCGTTGAACCTGAATAGTTTTTTAAAATGTTCGTAAAATTTAATAATTAAACGTTTATGCAACTTTCTTACATAAACGAACGCATAAATAACCCCGTACATAGACGAGTCAACGGAATTGAATTCATCTCCAACCGTCAAAATAATTCGTAACGGAAATTAAATATTAAAATACCAAACTTTACCAAACAGTTTTCAACAACTCTGCATTGACTGCGCGCATGCTTCTTGTCACACGAAAACGAGAGATTAGAGACGGTGAAAAACCAAAAAAAAAAAAGAAAAAAAATGACCGACTAAACGCTCGTTTACATTGCGTGACGACAACGGCGATAACGATGCGGTAAAATTATTGATAACGTATGTACTACGTCGTAATAATGAATCCGGTGTCGCATATTTCACGTGGTTATTGCGTCAAATCCGTGCTGGCGTCAGACTTTGCGTAACCAGGGCTCCGAGACGCGAACGCAATCACTCCCTGTCGCTGCGCTGACCACCGACGGTAAATCACAATACGCGTCGTTATGCCGTCGTATCATGTATCATATCGCATCTCCTCGTTGAAATGATACACGACCGGCAAAATGAGATCCTCGTTCAGGAAACAGATTTTCGGTGTGTACCGAGTCCCCGGGAGCGTATTTCTAGGGACGGCCACGCACTGTACATTTCATGGCGGATCCCGTAAACGATCGTGGACGATGTACGTGTTTTTGCGATCGCCAGGATACCGTTCGATTTTTCCGAAGTTCTTATGCGCAACGTACAACTTCTTAGAAGTATCACTGCAACAGTGAATGTGCGGTCGCGTAAGGGTGGAGGAGTTTTAATCGACCGAAGAAAAATAGATTTTTTATAACAAACCGTTATATGACCCGTTTTTTTTAGGAAAGCAAATGGAATAAATTAGTAATATGAACGTATTTAAACCTTTTTAATTAAACAATCAACGTGGAATTAAAATATTTGTCAACAATGCTTTTTAAATTTTTTGAGATACCCAGTATTATACTCTCATAAACAGTGTTCAATCAAGTTAAGAATTTATAATTTTTATAAAAATATATACAATTTTATTTTTTGATAATGATTTACCGTTCCTTTTAAGTTTCAATCATTATTGTACCGTTAAAAGTGTAGCATAACATTTTAATATTCTTAGCATGCTTTTTTATTTTTGTTTAATCATGGATCCCATTATGTTGTCCGTAGTTTTATCGAACGTTCATAACTCTGAAATAAATAATTAAAAATATTTTTAAATTAATCAAACTTAAAAATAAAATGATAAATTTGAAAATAAATATATTTTCAAATTTATCATTTTATTTTTAAGTAATTATGTAATTTTTCATTGATTTTATAATGAAAATCAGAATTTAATAATTGGATATTTATAAATATAAATTATAGATTTTTTAATAAATATATATAAAATTCTATAAATATTTATTCAAATTTCAAAGGATTTTAAATATCTCATATTGTCATATGATTGTATACATATTGTTATGTAAAAATATAACGAAAATAAAACTATAAAAATAAAATATTTTGATTGTTTTGATAAAAAAATAACTTTGAATACTTTATGTACGAAATGATTTAATGTTAAGTACCTTAAATGGTTAAGATGAATTATTAATTAACTAAACTACACCATTTTATGCATTGTAGTTTATTACTGAACTCCATTGTTTTTACGAGTGTGTTCAATGCTGAAATGTAGTCCCTAATCGACGATAATTTACTTTTAGTGTCACTTCAGGGTAGTCGGTTAAACATTCATTTTTTCGTGTCGTTGTAAAGTATTTTATGTTAAAAAATAATATTATACACCAAAGAATGAAAATATGAAGTACGAAAAAAGAGAGTTACCAACGAGAGTGAGATTTTACGATAAAAGTTTATCAACATTTTTCTTTATTTATATATTGCTATGGACGCCAAAAAAAGTTACCTTTATATTCGTTGATGTCTCGGCGTCTCGAGATACGTGCTGCAAAAGCGCTATATTCAATATACGTACGTGTGTACGCATGTTGGTAACATGCGCATAAAATTAAATAACAATAAATCATAAAAAAAAAAAAAAAAAAAAATAATAAAAAAACTTACAAAATTTAAGCCGTGTGATGTTACATCAAGTGTTCCCTGTAGGTATAATTTATGGAATCAGTTTACTAGCAGTTGCAAAATGAGTACGAGTGATATTGTACAACCGTGTGGTTTTCCGACCTATGAAATTAGATTACTGGCCCGTAGAATTGAATTGTCCCCGACGGTTTCAATCGGCGTGACAGGTTCGTGATTGGTTTAGATGTTTCGGATAAATAAGTTTTTTAGACGCACTTCGTTGGCGGCGCGGTGCAAGGTGAATTAATGAGAAACATCAGCGAGGTCTCTTGCTCCACGCAGCAGCCACTTAAACCGTGCCACGTAGTCATCTGCCATCTGTCAAGAGACACAATTGACATTTTATGTACACATATAATTTTCCATCGCCTGTGACACGTGGGGTGAACGCTAAATGCTGAAACTTCGAAAGCAATGCAACAAAAAGACTGTGAAACATGGCGAATATGAATTAGAACAAAACACTCTCCTCGCGCTAAAACGTATTATATTTCAACAAAAATGGACGTAGAAAAAATAAATGAGTGAATTAAAATCAATCGTTTGATCGGTTATTATAATGATTTTACATCGCAATAAGACAAACATACCATACACATTTCGTTTCTACGATACTGCCCCAGCAAGTTCTTATCGGTTAGGTTAGGTTAGGAAATCATCGTACAATACATTACACGTGAAAAAAAAAAATTTGAAAACTGACTGACGGATTACTCACCCGTTTCACATATTATGTATCTAGTATTTTATTTTTTCGCAGTATTATTTGTACTCATTTAACTGAACAATTTCACTGTACGGATTATAAATTTTGTAATTTTTTTTTTTCAAATATTAAAAATTTACTTCAAAATCAAACTCTACTGATATGAAAATACTTTGACAGAAACATGGATTTTCTCTTATATAAAGCATATGCATTTAATTTTTGATTGGGCTTAACCACTGGTATTAAAATATGATTTATTCAAACATCCAGTACTTGAACAAAATTATTGTAATAGTTTTGCTCATTGTAGTTGTAAAATTATAACTCATTTCCGTATATAATTATTAAGTAAAATACCAAAAAAAAAAAAAAATTAATTTTTTTGCAAATAATTTTAATAATTAATATCTTTGTAAAGTGTCGATGGTGTTATATTTTTTCTACAGTCATTATTAGAGAGGTTCATCCAAACTACTAACAACCAACGCTTCTCAGAAAATTTAGTAATTATTTATTTAAGAAAACAATTACTATCTCAAATAAATAAAATCAATAAATATTACAATATTTTACATCATTCGCTTGGATTTTACTTCCAAACAACCTCATCATTTAAATTTTTTATTTTTTTCATATGTCCGGTCACAATAGCAATAGCAACGGCTTAAGCTACGGTTTCTAAGGTACGACAAGCCGCGGCGACAAGTCATCGCGTCTGACGGCCACAACCAGTCGTCGCGACGCTTTCCGTATAGAGTGGTTTCCAATACGTGATAAGTCGCAACGACACAACTGGTATTCAGTCAGCATCTGTTTTTAAACTTGTTCGAGTGCGCACGTATTTTTCATACGATATAATATCATATCACAACGAATAGATATATTTCAAATAATAATAATAATCTTCTTACATTATTATTATTAGAAGAAAAAGAACAACAACAAATTTTAGTTACCTCATCACCAAACATAAGAAAACCTATAAATTAATTATTTATATATCGAGATGGAAAATAATTGATGATGATCAAATTTCATCTTTTTGAATAATATTTTTATAATTCGGATCTCCAATATTGTAAAGAAGTGTATTATTCTGGACTTCACGAATTAGAATTTCATCTTCCAACGCCGAGAATATCAGTGTTGACGCCATTATATCTACAAACATTTCAATAATCGTTGTGATATGTCGCGGCGACATGTCGCAAGGTACTGTTCTCGGAGCAGCAGTGTCATCGGCTACGACGACTCAAAGTTAGGTTGCAGCGAATTGTCGCGTATTGCAAACCAATGAATAACATTTTCGTATAACCAGATGTTGACGACTTGTCGCAGCGACAGGTCACCGCGATCTGTCGTATCTTAGAAACCGTACCTTTAGCGCTAATAATACAACAATGATTATATTTTAATAATATAACCGTTATAATTTACGCCAATAAAATTATTAATTAGTTTTGATGTAAAAAATACACAAATGACCTTAATTTGCCTATACATAACGCCGTTTTACGAATAATAAATACAGGAAAAAGAGGTTTATTCCAATAATAAAAGTTCCGTTTAAATATTTTTAAAAGCCACTTTTAAACTATTCCTTTTGAAAATTCGTGGAAAACTCAAGGTTTCAGTACTTTTTCCAGACGTATTTCTTTCGTAATTTTTTAACAAGAAGTAATAAAATAAAATAAATATATTTATGGTTTTCATCGTTTACACATGAATTACGGCTGTGTTCGAGAGTTGCTCGACAATTCTTGTGTAACTGGCATAATTTTCTCAGAAAACGGTCGTAGAATTTTCATATTTTAGGATGCTACGAATAACATTAAAATATTTACTGTACACGACTGTATATTTGTTCTACGTTATCTAAATATATTTGTTTATGTATTAAAATAACGGATATCACTATGTCCACATTTTACTTGAATGTCCTTCTGCTTTTTTCCAAGGAATCGAAAACCAAATAACCAAGAAACCATGACATTTTATACTCATTGTTCTCTGTATAACAAGTATTTAGTTTATTCACGTTTTCTGTCTCGCAATTATTTTTTATTTCCTAGTACACGTATAACACTATTATAGATAATTTTCTAGTTAAATTTCATTACGTTATTCAGTATTTGTATTTTTCTTTCCATTTTCCACGTATACACTTTTTTAATTTCTATGTCCCTTTGTGAAACGAATTTGAAAACTAACCTAATAATAAAACGCATTTTTGTTTATTTATTTTACACTTACAATTATAATATTAAGTTAATGCGAGAGTGTTCGTTCGGATAAGTGTGTACCATTTCGTAAGATAAATTAAAATCATAATGCTCAAACAGTGTTATCGATTTAATTTTGGTTTCTCACTCTCGGAATTCACTTAACATTCTAATGTGTATTCGAACGGATTCAAACGGTTATTTTGAAGATTACTAATTAAAAGTGGCATAGATTCAGTTGTGATCGTAATTACTTTATGAACAAATAATATGATAAAATAATAAAAAAATGAATAAAATAAAAAATTAGTAAATAAATAAACAAAATAAGAAATAAGTCACGAATTTATATATGAGTCGTTAAATTTTTAGTTCGAATCCAGTCGCCTTTTACAAATATAATATTACTCCAGCCTGAACATTTATTTATTTATATATTAAATAATCTGACCGATAGATTTGTCGTCGTTAATAATTTTGAAATGTAATGCACACAATGAGCTCGTAATTGTTGTTACAGCATATATTCGACAACCACTCGTCCAAACATAATATGATATTATGCGGAACACCATTGAAATAAATATTTCAACAGTATTTAATCCATTAATATTTCGGAAATAACAACACCATTATAAACAAAACGAAAGGACATCTAACGGGGACATTACCGTCAACACCTTGTAGTTAATTCCGCCGCCAATATTCGTACATATTTAATGACGGATTTTAGTGTTACCAACACTTTATGTATTTTCGCACGGGTTCTAATATGGTTAATATTAACAATAACAATAATAGTTTTAACGTCGTAATAGGCTATCTATTTAAGTATTTCGCACGGTAGACCAGAACGGTTCAACTGATTTCTAACCGATGGTTTGCCTATCATTCGGAACTTCTGGATAGTCGATTTCGGCACGTTTCACTAGTTATTGAAATCATATAATTATGTGATTGTATTTACGCAACGAACGCTTAGAGACCACGTTTCGCGAGTCCTATGTATTACCGCCGACAAATAATATATTTTTCTACATTTTTTACAGTGGAAAAGCAACATGGTAATGTGCTGAACCTAACCAGGGTCAGTAGATCTGACATGGGATCGTATTTGTGCATCGCTTCTAATGGCGTACCTCCATCGGTCAGCAAGCGAATCGTTCTCGACGTCGAGTGTAAGTTTATAATCATAAACCATTAATATTACAATGATCGTCCAACGCGTAGTACAAAATGTGAAAATAATAGAAAAATTAACTAAATAAAATGTGTCTATTGTATATAGTTTCTTGTCAACCAATGCCATTGGCATATGAAAATGAACCGTAAACGACACGAATGTATAGGAGAAATTAATTTTGAGTACCAGGGTCATGACAGACATTAACGTCAATTGACGGGTTTCATAATTTAACACAAGGTATGCATGGGACGGTAAATATTTTGACCTAAAAGGCAGTTTGAAATATTATTCGAAAATCAATTCGTATATGATTTCATAACAGACCGTATGTAATATTATGTTGGTTGGGAAAAAGGTTCGGTCATATATACTTGTATATAAAAAGCAAAATTAATAAAAGATGCTTTTATTAAATAAAGTTATTTGGTTGTTAGCATAAACTAAATATTTCGCATATTTTGATTTAAACATTTCTCGTAAACCATACGCAGCAGCTATTGAATGATTTCACTAAATTTGCCGACGTATTCATTTAACACTGAATTTATCTAAATACCGAAAACTTTCACATTGCCTTTACTATCATAACATACAACTTGTACAAATTTAAGCAGTTGTTCGGCATCGCATCGTTACTAACTGCTTTCATGTTAAGATTGTTTTATGAACTTTTATTTTCTAAATTTCCGTCAATGAATTATTATGATAGTCTGATAACTAAACTGAATCTCGATCAAATAGTTCACATTAATAGCGTTAATAGAATAATGATAATAACTAAATATAGGACGTGATAATAAATGAGTTGTACAATTTATTTTTTTATTTGTTAAACCGACATGAAATCGCACTGTTCCTGTATGCCAGGTCACCGTTCGTTTATCTCGTTCGTTTCGAAAATGGTTTAGCACGATGCTGCCGAACCATGACATTACAGATGGTGTGTTACGTATATATATATATATATATATATATATATATATATACACGTACAGGACGTAATATTTGAGATAACAGACCGGAAGCAATATAATGACATCGACGACGCGTCTTTGTGTATCGCTGTGCATGTATGGGGTATGGGATGCACTACATGGATACGAGATGCTGTAACATGGTATTTTTAATATATATATATATATATATATATATATATATGTATGTGTGTGTGTGTGTGTGTATACACACACACACACACACTCATGATCACGCCTCTGTCGTTGTTGTATCGTCGAAGGGAGTATAAATCCGTCTTAGACCGTCAAATCGGAAGACGATCACTCGGAGTGGAAAAATAAAACGGAGAAAAATATATAAATATATATTATTCCATATCGAAATTTCAGCTACTTTTCTTCTCCAGTGAAAATATAACAAAATAATAATAATAATAAAAATAATAACCGTTGGACTACGTGGGGTAGCCGAATGGTGTTGTATTATAATCATAATAAATTCGGACCACAAGAAATATTGAAGCCTACGGGGGTAAAGTTTTAGTTCCTTAGCGCGTATAACCTCAACTAAAACGTATACATCGGCTCTCTCCGTGTGCGGTTGCAGGATTGTTGGTTCTAATGAACTGTCTGTATGTCTGCTGTGTGCAAAGTCACGCAAATTGTATATGGGTGTGCGCGAATGTATAAGACAATAATAACGCGACCAATATGTCATATTATATCATAATGCCTAAGCGTGCGTCTGTATGTTCACTAAAACTTTCATTATTCCGTATACCTCCAATTTCTATATTAACGATAGCACGCAACCGAAATCGCTGTTTTCCCATCGAATTCAAAGAAACGTTAGCAAGTGAAAACGGAAAAAAACTGCACCGTGGCAGCGTACATATAATATCCCACTACAGCAACTCACACGTGAAATTTGCACCCTTGTGTGCATAACGTCTGGTACCATTTGTTTGAAGTGTTTATTTATAGTTCACAAAGAGTCCGTCTCACTGTGTAGAATAACAATTCGATAGATAAACATTTAAGTGTGTCCAGCGATTGGGCTTCAACCTCTTATAGTCTATGAGAAATAGACAAATCCACAACGATACAAGACTACCATTCCTTTTTTCTAAGATTGGATAAAAACACAATTTAAAAATTTTAAAACCAATCTATAAGTCCCCGGTGTTACGTGGTTCTGAATTACATGGGAAGTAAAAAAAAAAATTTAAAAAAAAAACCGGCATATAAAATCGTGATTAATATCGGATCCATTTTATCGTATGACAGCAAAAACTTCGATGTAAGACCAATGTTTAATTCCTCAAGTTGTGCTTGTCGTTGGAATAGTATTGTTTATGGGATCAATGTATTGTGGAAAACAAAAAATTATATTCATGAAGTTTCGCACAACTATAAACATTCACACGTTCCTCCGATGGAACGAAATTATATACGAAGATTCGTCAACTGTTAGCATATCTCTACTTAGGTTTTTCACGAATCCATTAAAATTTTAAATTTTCTTATGAATAAAAATTATTCAAAATCTTTTACAGTACAAATAAATATTTTCGTCATTTTGGAAATCCATTGGACATATTTCCATTGTTTCTTCGGGGCCTTTAGCACATGAAACTCGTATGTAGACTAATGTCAGTTTTTTTTCATTGAAATCATTATACTTCATCGTACTTTGGTGTACATACATCATGCGTTCAACAAACATAACACCCCGCAGTGAGAGCTCTGTCGGAAAACGTTGCGGCACATCCAACAGTTCAAATTTCTTTGTAATGTAGAAAGTGCCGAAATTAATTAATAATTTAATTTACACGTGTGTATTATTTATTTATTTCCATAGAAGTTTTGACAAGGGTCGGCCATCATATAGCTTTTGTCCTTGCATAATCATTCTGGTCGTGAGAACATAATGTTACACCGTTGTACGAAATAATATTAACTGGAAGAAATAATACAAATCTATAACTTTACTGAACCGCATCAAAATTACTCCAGACTACATAATATGTGATATTATCATGGATGGTTGTTTTATTTTCATCGTACGCAAAACGAACGATTCGATAACATTGTATAATATTATTATAGGTATTATATCCCTTTAGAATGTGTTGTGTAAATGGCAGCCGGTGTTTTTGTTCTCGACGTATCTTTGCCGAAAACCATATTCGTGGTAAACAAGGATGAATATATAAGTTGCTTAGCTTTTGCAGTATGTTTTCATTTTTGTTAAGTAATTTTTCAAACGTAATATTGTTACGACGATAACAGTATACGTTTAAAAAGAGTAGTAAATTATAATTAAATAATTAAGTAATTATCAAACTTATTATTCTATTAAAACTAAATGTATATAGGCAAACGCAGAATTCGTAAAACTTTACACTTGAAAGTTAGAACAGTTTTGTAGCGTGCAACTTTCAGGAATTCGATATTTTTTTTTTTTTTGCAAAATATTAAAATAATATTAATGTTTAAACATAAAATTATGTTGTAACTTGTAACCATCTCGAAGCATATGTTTTTTTTTAATTTTTAATATTTTATACACCATTAAATTATCATCCCTCAAAAAAAAAAAGTATAATTATAATAATAAAAAATATAAATAACAATACACACTATAGAAACTTTTCTTTGGACAAAAGAAAAAAATATATAATACTTAAAGTGTGACAGTGTTTAGCGTAAAATGCATAAAATATTTCAAAATTTTTAAATTTCACAGTAACAGTGTTTTACAGCAACTAACAACTAACAAGTGTTATTAAGCTTACGCCAGATAATATTAATGACTGCTAAAAGAGAAAATAATATACGGTAGAATAAAAATAAAACTCGTTCAACAGTAAATTCATAATTAATTGCATTTTTATCCGACACCACACGTAGGAGTGAATAACACAGACCAACGTAGTAATAGCCTCTTCGACTGAACATTAAAAAATAAGAAGATAATGGAGCACGGGACGTAGTATAATTTACACACTTGCCGATGTAATTTGTAAGACACTAATGTAGACGTATAATTCTGAATTTTACATCGGTAGTTAATTGAATTATTTAGCAAATAAACGAGCCGATGATTATTCGTGCCAAATAATTTGATAGCGAGTGATGAACATTTTATTTCGAACGATTTGCATGTTATCTTTCCCGCTTCCATAATAACGAGATTATCAATATGGCAGCATATCCCGTTATGTTATGTATACCTGCGTTCCGCACGGATATTCATTCGATGTAACAAAACAATAAACGAAATTTAAATTTTATACACTTAAATCTCTGACTTTATTAATTCTATTGTTACCTCTCGGCGTGGTGATTAAAAACCGTATGGGTTCACAAAAAAATCATAAAAATAATACAGTACAAATTATATGCAACGTAATTTATTTATTCCCACCCTGTATTTGAAGGCAATCGAATTTTATCAAATAATTGAATAATTTTTGAATAACATCAACTCTGTGTCTCCGACAATAATTATTATACCGTCAAACTTTTGTATAGCAATTATCTTTCATAAACGCAACACGAGGTAAATAGTGCGAAATTAGTCATAGGTCACGTGAAAACTTTTCGTTCACGCATTCGATATTATTTGCCAAGTTTATGAAATTAATTCTTCACGTTCATAAGATGAGGGTGGGAATGAATAGTCTGCATTTAAAATTCCGATGAATGTTACAAACCGAATTGAGTTACAATGATAACCTACCCGCCGAACACTTTGTGGCACGTATAAGTGTGTCCGGATCGAAAGCTATTCTTTTATCTAGACCCAGTGTAGCCGTACAACGGAAACCATTAAATTAATCGTAACTATAACAACAATCAAACAGGAACTACATTGAAAACTGAAAAAAATGGATATTTTTTTTTTCAATAAAAAAAATAGTTAAATTTTAAATGTAAATAAAAAAACTATACGTTTATTTTGAATCACCATGTATGAAATAATGCGGAATAAAATATAATAATATTAAAAAACTATATACATCAAAGTGGAATTCAGACCGAGCACATTTTTGTATAATACGTTTTTCTTTTAAAATTATTTAAAATTGAATTGTGCAATATATCATCACGGTCTTTAAACTATGTATGTAAATGATACAGAATAGTTGTTTTTTCGCCCTCTTCATTTATGTTTCACTATACTACGTAGATGTGGTATTTTCAATTTTTGAAATACTCGGTCTCGTGGGGACTACTCTGCACGGTTAACGTTAATATATTTATTTGGGTTGGTTTTGCTTTTATTATGTACATTGAACAATTTTACTGACCACTTTGCGAAATTGCAACCCACTGTAGACGAGTATATCGAAATTTATCGCTGTGTACATGGTTTTAGATAATGAGGTATTTCAATTATTGTATTGTCATAAACGTTAATAAAACAATAAAGAAATCTATCTGTATAAATATTTTTTTTCTTGTTCTAATTATAAAATATTAATAATATACCAGATATCCGTTTGGTAGTATTAATTGCTAAAATGGAATGATGTTATGCATAAACCTTTTTTTTTTTTTTTTAAAATAAATTTGAAAACATTCAAAATGTTCATAATCTTGACGTCAATCGTTTTAAACTAGTTTGCGCTTATACTATCAAACTAAAAATATCAGAATTTACTCAGGATACATATCGATGTCCATTGTCGTTGCCACATTTTTTCGACGTTTGATGAAAAGCCATCAAAGTTCATTGATTCGTCGCGAATGATTTTAAATTGAACGTTACGCTTTGAAGTACAAATTAAAATATTTTCAAACAAAGTGCTTTGATTTGCGATATCAGAAGTTTTCAATCAAAAGAATTTATTTTTCAATTATATCGTAATCTGGTAATCGGATATTATTTGAGATCTGAAATACTGTATACATATACCATTAGTTACACTCAAATATTGATCGTGATTCGTTTGCAATTACTATACGAAAAACTAGCGATATATGTCCCTAATGCACGATAATATACCCTTAAGTGAAGAGCGAGGATGCGCAATGATCAACTGCGTACAGTTTTACATAACACAACATTATTAAGTTTGTCTCTTCTGTTGACTTTGTGTTCATCGTTTTAGCCGTCAGATACGTGTTGAAAATTGGTAAAGTTCTGTGGCGACACCCATATCATGAAAACGACAAACTTCTATGATCAAGCTAAGATCAAAAGCTGTTTTATCTTCTCAGCTGCTTACCACTCGATTGCAATAAGCCGTTATAATACGATTACTCGTATTACTCAATTGAAAATTAATCTTCTTTTTTTTCGTAGTAAACGCCCTTTACGTGTTCAAAACTGTAAACCGATGATCGCTGTTCGGCCACGAGTCGATAACAATAAGACAAACAACACGTCGGCCTTTGGGTATCGTTGTCCGATCATTGGCCCCATCGAAGTGCACCCGTTTTTCCCGGTCGACAGTTTAACGACGTGAAAGACACGTGAAACAAAAAAAAAAAAAAAATTTGGTTTTCCACGCGATACATACTATAACATACTGTTATAATCAAAATATTTATGTAATGGCATTCCAGAAGTCGATAAACTTCCTCTAACCGGTCGCATAAATCGTACCGATCGTTTTATGTACACGGCCTACCTGAACTGGCATTTGATTTACCGTTTCCGTTTCAGTTTCTCCGACGTTGGCAGTGCCAAACCAACTGGTTGGCGCTCCGCTGGGCACGGACGTCACCATCGACTGTCAGACCGAAGCGTATCCTCGGCCGATAAGCTTCTGGATGTTCCACGAGTCTCGGACGATGATATTCTCCGGGTCCAAGCACCATCTGGCTGTCAATGAGGACGGATACAAGGCGCACATGTTGCTCACCATCCGGTCCCTGAGTCCCGAAGACTACGGCAGCTATAAATGTGTGACGAAGAACTCGTTGGGCGAAGCCGAAGGTTCCATGAGAATTTACGGTAAGATTCTATTGATCATCGATCATCGCGCGTAACAGCATTGCGTTATCTGTTGATTTTGTGACTAAAACGTATAAATTATACGTTTACGAATCTTATTTCAAAACCAAATTTTTATTTTTTTATTTATTTATTTTTTAATAATCGATTCGAGAGTACACGATAAGTTCTATCCGTGATGTGTGTACACGATTAAATTATTTGTAACGTAAATCAGTATGAAAGAATGGTTTGTAAAAAGGTGAAATATTCCGAGGAAAATTTTAAATTTTTCGATATTGAAGTTTTCTTTCGTAACGTGAAAAGAAAACGACCGGTTTTTTTCTTTTTATCTTCATTTATTTGGTTTCTATACTTTATTGTGTTCAAACAATGTAAAATATCTCCGAGACGAAGCACTTGTTAATGACGACCGACAAATATCGATTTATAATTATATAGAGACCGTACTCGAAGAAGGAAACAAAGGGTCAGTTGTCATTCTACAGAGGTAAGACCGGGTGATTAGGTCAGTGTGACTTGAGTATTAATAAAAACTGTAACATTGATGAAATATATGGTATGCTACTTGATCGAATTATTTTTTCGTTACAATAAATATTCTCAAAAAAACTATAAAACAATAACTTCGAAACATTTTTACTAAGAAATAATTATTTTTTACTCATTTTATATCGGTATTTTATACAACCATAACACTAATTTATTGTTGTCTTTATACTATGAATCAGGAACGTTTTCCTAAAAATTTAACCGCAAAATCGAACATTAAACAAGCGTAACGTAGTGTCAAAAAGATTTCCATAAAATAAAGATGTATTCATTTCGACATAACATATTTATATTCATTTAATAAATTGCTGGTTGGAAATTATATTTTTATACATTTACTTTAAATATGAAAATTCTCTACCTACAGATATAAAAGTTTTCACTTATAATAAAATACTTGAAATATTATTATGGTAAAACAGTAGTTTTTGAACGTTTCTTTAATAATTTCTTTAACTAATATATTAATTTAATTTTCAAATCATATAAATTCGTTAAAAAAAAATAGCGTTAAGCGATAAAAAGAAAAGAAAATAAACCTTCTATATGAATACAAATAAATGGATGATCTTATTAATTTAATATGTATTTTTACTCATATTATGAACAGTCTGCTTTGTATTATTTATTTAATTTGTTACTACTAAAATAATTACTTTCATCGGAATAATACTGAGTCAGTATACGACTCTGAAAAAGACAACCATGCGCTTTTCACTATGAGCTATTTGTAATTAAAACGAACAAAAGAGACTCTGATTCATTATAATACGTATTATTATAATTTTGTCTCTGATTAAATCACGACATCACGAATCAGCAGATTAACATTAGATCGAACATTAAATTTTTGTTGTGCTCTTCTATCCGGGTGGTCACCATTTTTTACTGTCTGATATTAAATGACCAACAGTATTTCTTTACTCTTCTTTGAGACCATCAATAAAAGTATATTGTTTTTTGTTTTCGTTGAAGATCCTGGATATTTATTTTTCCACCGCAGTACCACTGACTTAAGTTTAAGTCTAATAATAGAGTACGCGTCCTGTATTTTAATTGATACTACTCAAATTCATTGCAATTTATTTTAAAATATTTGGTAAAAAAAATGAATGTTTCACTACAAAAAAAAAATAAAACTAAGTATTCTAAATTATTGTAGAAAACTAATGATGAATTTTCATCATATTCATAGCAGCTATAATTGACTATAAAAGTACAAATCATAAATAACTGAAGGTGTCTGAGAAAAATATATGAGATTCAAGGAAATTATATTCGTTGGAACTATTATACTCCTACTATTATACGAAAAGAAAATTATATCTATGTATTTTTAAATTATTTATACATTATAATTAATTAAATATACCTACATGGTTTTTATGATTGGGTCGAAAAGTAAAATAAACATTCCTTAAAATACACGTCACATGCCTATGTATCCAAATTACAACAACGATTTATTTTACATGCTGAAAAAGTTATTTTCAAACGAACTATTATTTATTAAATCTTAAACAATTATTGCGGAGAGTACAGTTTTTTTTTTATTATTTAATAAAATCGATTATTAGATTATTATCGATTGAATTGTTAACCATTTTTAATCATAAACCTAAATTCATCAAATAATTTATTAATATCAATCAAATTTATGAGTTATATATATATACATATATCCAAGTGCTATCTACAAAACAAACCCACTTGTATTGATAATTACAGATTATTAATTATTTACTGCACTTACTGAATATTTGATACTACATTTACGGTTAAAAAGTAACAGCATTTCCGTAGAATTATTATCGATTTAGGAACACACATCTGCAGAACATATATATTAGTCTTATGTGTACCAAATGTTTTGAGTACGCACTCAGTCGGAAAAAGTATATGTAGTCATCTCCAAACACCATCAGTATCCTTTTACTTTTTGTTGGTTAACTAGTCACCAATCGAATTTTTTTTTACCGAACACCGAATCTTCGAATACGAGTTGCTGGTCAAAACGTACTATCGTAAATATCGTTATACTTTATAGTTATCTGATATCGATTGCAAACGTACCACACCACATTCAGAGATTCGTTTAACCCCACTAGCAATATTACTATAATTACTATTATTAAAGCTTTAGCATTTTCAATGACGTACATAGACGGTTTCAACGGTGGCGTCGCATTAAACGATTGTATACTCGTATAAACGTATCAAAACACGTTGTACACAATGGTTCACTTCGGTCGCCGACAACGAGTCAATAGTTTCATAATCTGATATTTATAGTTTTATATTTATTTTTCGCTCTATAAATATACGTGACGAAATTAAATGACTAACGTTTTTCACGAATCTATTAAACCGTATAAGACCGTCCGAACACCCAAAACCCGTGGCCGTGGTGTGCACAACACCGAGCGTACCCGCATTGTATTGTCTTCGTCCACGATTTCTTCGTTCGTCCTGGCAAGCCGTCGACATCGTCAGCTTACGTTAGAGGATCGACGAGGAATACCTGCTGACGACCAGCAGCGTTAACAAATCGCGGGACGTAATTTTGTTCGCGCGGTTCCGCGGAAGTCGATGAAATGACGAGGGGCGTGTGAAAAAAAAAGAGACAAAAAAAAACATTATTACACTTGTCGTTCGATTCGCGTCGAACATGTTTCCGAGGTAGCGTACGGAAACCATGTAAATACATTATCTGTCCAGAAAACGTTATCGGTTATGATACGTACGGCTTAGGCAACCGATCCGAGTACCTGCGCATGAAGTGTACGTTAGCATCAACGTACGTCCGACGCGCCGTACGGTTTAAGCCGTAGTTCTCGTACTGATGTCGGTGGATCGATGGAAACGAACTCATTTCGTCGTGAGATATTTCAAAAACGCTACACTCAAACGTCTATTGTTATTCGACTCGTTAAGACCGTGTGAATCGGTAAGACGTTAATCATCGAATTCAAATAGCATAAGATAAAAATGTTTAAAGCTAATGATACATACCGTATTGGCTTTGTATGTTTTTTGAAATAAATATTTTCAAGCAAAAGAATTTCGTTTTAATTTTAATTTCAGATAAATTTAATAAAAATGTTGTATCAAAATAATACGCTAACGCACGATATAAAGCTGGATCAATGAAAGAACGAAAATAAATAAAATAAAATATATTATTTACAAAAAGAAAGAAAAAAACAAACACAATTTTTTCGAAATTATAAAAACGCAGTAGGATTCACATTCATATTCAACGAAGGGCACTTCAATTTTTCAACTTTCTATATCAGCTTCAAACTACAAAAGAAATATATATTTACAACGTTTAAGCGTGCATGCATACACATACACACACACACACACACACACACACACACACACACACACACACACACACACACACACACACACACACACACACACGCACGCACGCACGCACGCACAGTTTTCTAAAAATTAAAACACATGTATGATTTATTTTATTTAAAGTTTCTAATATATGGTATATAATTATGAATTTAAAATTAGGATACTGGTATATGATAAATAAATAAATTAAATAACATAACATGTATAACATACGAGTTCGGTACTAGTCCGACTATAAAATCCATAACGTACTAGTTCGATCCGACCACACGACAATAAAACCTATAACTTACAAGTATTGATACACTTGATATTGTTAAAAATTTAAATGATAGAGCTTTTTCAAACTCAAGTCTATTAATTTTTTAACATTATCAAGTGTATCAATACTTGTAAGTTACAGATTTTATTGTTGTAGTGGTCGGACCGAACTAGTACGTTTTGTGTTTTGTAGTTGGACTCATACCGAGCTCATATGTTGTCGTTTTAATAATCGGACCCAACTTGGATATGCCCTCACACACACATACACTCGCACGCAAATTTGAAGTAAAATCTGAGAGTTTATAATTTAAGTTCTAATACATATTCTACGGATAAGATTTTGAATAATGATTACTATATAATTTTAAATCATAGTTTTAGAATGTTTATACGTAACTTTGAGGATTAAATACTATAATCCTGATTAAAGTTAGTATAGTATTCAAATTGAAATGTACACATGCATTTTATGACATAACTTATTTACTTCATAATTAAAATATTTAAGTTGATATAATATAATATAGCACAGTAGTTAAAATTCCCAATTCAATAAACAGTAATGACACTAATTCATCAATTTAAAACTATGAAAATATAAATCTCACTGAGTTAGATTAATGAAAAATTCTAGATGAAATTTTAATATTAAAATTATTTTTTTTTTTTTTTTTGTTATATTATGAAATAAATCTGGATTTATCTCATATTTCGTGTTTCGCAAGAATTTTAACAAATACTAGAATAGTAATTATACATTGAATCGATTTATGAGCTTTTGAAAAATGTTATACATTATTTTACAATCT